GCATGTCCCTGTCTGGGCCTCCTAAGTGAGCTGAACAAGTGTGAGCCGGCACGTCCAGGTTTATGTCCGGCGTCTGCGACAGTCCCCAGTCATCTTGGCCACTGTTATTTTCCACTACTGTAACAGCTGCCTGTCACTTCTGCCTCCATTCTATGCTCCTATGCTCTCCCATAACACATCTGCATGACTCTTTAGAACTCAAAGCCATAGACCAGGCTCGACAGTTCAGTGGGTAAAAGCACTCATGGTAGCCAAGCCTGATGACCTACACTCAATTCCCAGGTCCCACATGACACACAGAACCAAATCCTACAAGATGTTCTCTGACCTCCACACATTCACCCACAAACTATAAATGCAAGACAAACAAACCAACCCTGACAACACATTCAAATGTTCACTGACTTCTTCGGAGTCTCACAATTAATCTAACTCCGCACTACAGACTGAAAGGCTCAGTGTGTGGCCGCTGTCTACCCCGACCTCCCTGCCACCTTAGCTTGTGTTCTAATCACACTGGCTTCCATTTCTACAGAGGCAGGAGCAAGAGCCTTTACTATAGGAACTATACAGTGTCCTTGGAAGAGACAAAATGATGATTAAATACAAATTTGAATAGTTAACTCAGTGGCTGATGTTTATGCCCAACATACCCTCTCCCTTAAGCTCTATAGGAGAGCTCCATATTAGAGAGAAAATATAAGCCAAAAAAAATTTACCTACATAATTTAGATAGCTGCCAAAAATATGGAGGTAGCATAGCTATTTTGATCATGAGGTTTTAATATTATTCATAACCTAACCTAATGACATGCGAACCTAATAGGAAACAAATATCCTCTTGGCAACTTATCATGTGCCTCTAAACCTCGGGTAAAAACAAAGCCACATGAGCTTTTTCCCTCTATTCTATAAAAAAGGAACTCCCTGTTCTGTTTCAAAATAACAATGTACAGGTGAGAATAACCAAGAGCTGCCGAGGTGAGATGGCTGACTTATCACGTAAAGGGTTTGCTGTGCAAGCCAAAGCCCTGAGTCTGAGCCCGAAAACCACGTACAGGTGGAAAGAGAGAACTAGGTAGATGAAGAATCCTTAACCTTCATGTGTTCGGTGGCACGTGTGAGCCCTAGCACTTCTCTTTCTAGTCCCTACAGGGGCTGGCTAGGGAAATGGCTCAGTGGTTACTGCACTTCCTTTGCAAGTAGAAGAACTAGAGTTCAGATCCCAGAGCCTATGTAAATGACAGCAGGCTGGTGATCCTCATGTACCGTCAGCCTTAACCCGGGGATCCCCAGAGCAAGCTGGCTAGCAAACCAGCCACAGAGCAAGCTCTGGGTTTGACTCTAAGAGCCCTCCTCAGTGAATAAGAAGAAAGAGTGAATTAAGATGATTCCTGACATCAGCTAACCTCAGGCCTCCATGTCTGCTGTGCATACGCCAACACACACATACAAAACTTTTTTATCAGTAATTCTTTTCTTTTGGATCTTGGAGACAAGGTCTCACTACACAGCCCTAGCTACCTTGGAACTCTGTATATGGAGCAGGCTAGTTGCGAACTTGCAGTGGTCCTTGTATCCTGGCCTCTTGGGCTAGGATTCCAGGTGTGTGGCACCACAGCTAACTTGCCAGTCAGTTTTAAAGCCTGTTCAGATGCAGTCTGTTGATTGATTGATAATGTTTTGTTATATAGCTCAGGGAGACCTGGAACTCTACATGGAGCTACCTCTGAACTCTCAACAATCCCCCTGCCTCAGCCTGTAAAGTGCCTGAATTAGAAACATGTGCTAGGATGCTCAGCTTCATTTTCCTTAAAAAAAAAAATGATGAAAACATTTTCCTAAAAGGCTAGAAGAAAAGAACCTAAAAGATTGTTTATGTGGCCAATATATACTAAAGTTAACATGTTTACAAAGGCAAAACCAGGCAAACAAAACCATTAAGACAAAATCAAGCAAAGTAAGACTTACCTACAATGACAACTTACTCATTGGTAATTAATATTAATATTCTCTTGTCTATAATGCTTATTAACGTTAGATCAATACTCACTGATTCCCGAAGGTATCCTTGCCCAGCAACATCATATAAACTGAGTCCTATTCTTGTCTGATGTAGCCAAACTGACAATAAACAAGAAAATTACATGTAAACACTGAGATCTGTTCTTTAGCACATGTATGAACAAAAGAGTAAGGTGCTAGACCAGAAGCGTAGGCCAATTCAGGAACTGCATAAAGCCCCATTTCACACACATTAAATAGTCAGGGACCTGTAAGACATTTAATCCAAAAGAAAAACACCATGAAATGGCAGATTCCAAACTCTGCCATGTTTACAACTACAGCAAAACTGATGCCCTTGGGGATACTGGTTTCCAAACATTAAACTTGGTGTTCCAACAAACAGAGAGCGCTAGCACAGCCCTGTGTCTTCTGTGTCTTCAGTGAAGTCTGTATCCTCCTGAGGCGGATTACTGCAGCCAATCTACTCATTAACAACAGTAAGAGGCTGCAGACCATATACTCCTAGGAAATTCACAACAACTCCAAAATGTTTTAATACAGGCTTCTTGAAAACAACAGCACAGTTGTGGATTTGAGACTATCCTTTCAGGCATATATATTAGTGAAATGAAATTACCAGTAAATTGAAATCATTTCAAACCTACCCATTAAAACTTTTGTTCTGGCCGGGCGGTGGTGGCGCACGCCTTTAATCCCAGCGCTTGGGAGGCAGAGGCAGGCGGAATTCTGAGTTCGAGGCCTGCCTGGTCTACAGAGTGAGTTCCAGGACAGCTATAGCTATACAGAGAAACCCTGTCTCGAAAAAAACAAAAAACAAACAAACAAACAAAAACTTTTGTTCTGATTTTTAAAAAGAATTAAAGTGATTTTACTGCTCAATCAAGTACCCCAGACAGATATATGCCAACTAGGGCAGGCTGTGGATGGCTCAGGTTTCTAACTGAGAATGCAGTCTCTTGATATTGCAGGAATATGCCAATTGATGAGTTCCACTCTCTCTCAATCTGTTCCTCTCAGGACAGATGCAAATAGCAACTGGTTCCTTACTTAGATGGCAAAGATCTCAGCAGATCAAGAATGGCTTAAGGAGTCTCAATACTTTACCACAAACCACAAAACGGACTAGTGCAACCCCGTGCCTTGTGTTGTACACTTTTCTGCCCCATGTGTAAATCTGTTCCTTCACATCGTTATTAAGACATCAACCTATGCAAGGTGTGGACATTATGGCAACAGGACAGAGCTGACGGGGAAAAGCCCTCTGGGGAGAGGACACGTGTCACCAGAAACAATGAAAACAATGTTTCTCTCTATTTTGTTTATCTCTATGTTGCCACCTTCCTTAGGGTACACAAGATTTTTGAATAAATAATGATTTCAATTTTAATACACACACAGCTCTGCCTGGTGTCCAGGAGGACCATAATAGGATAGGGAAAAAGTAACATGACGTGACATAAAAGAAGTCATAGAGAAGCACAGACCGAAGCTTACTTGATTTCCAGACAAGAGTTCAAACTAACACACACAACAAATCACCTTTTCGCATGACGTAGTTAAAGAACTGCATGATGGAAATTCTTCCATATGAATCTGTATGAAGGAGTTTGGCAAAGACTTTTGCAGTAAAAAATTGCCTAAAAAGAGGAAATAAACATTAAATTGCCTACCAGCATAGTATAAAAACAATGTCTATAAGAATTAACTAACATGAATTAATACAACTAAAAATCAAAGTAAGAGACTATAAAGGCTCCTCATAGCTCAACATTTGAAACAAGTTATAAATACTTGTATTTTCTTTACAGTCTTCAAAGAATGAAAGATCTAGATGTGTGCATGCTGTTGCCTGTTGAAGCCTGGGCTTAGCTGCCTGTTGTGACAGCCCCCTTGGCCTAGCCTCAGTCCCTTTGCAAGGCTGCCCACGGGCGACACTGTGCGGAGTGGGGCTCCTAAGTTGCAGGAGGAAAATCAGTAGGGTTGCTGGAGACTTACCCATCACACCTTAGGAACGGTGGAGAATGGGACCAGAGCAGCATTCTAGCCTGATTCTGTGTATAAAGATGATATGGAACAAATACTGCTAGACGCCTACAGAACCTGGACACAGCGGCTCCAATGGCTCTGCTCTTACTGTGTGAACGGCTGGTTTTGTGTGTCAACTTGACACAAGACAGAGTTATCAGGGAGGAAGGAGCCTCAGTTGAGGAAATGTCTCCATGAGATCCAGCTATAAGGCATTTTCTCAATTAGTGATTGATGGGAGAGCACCCAGCCCATGGTAAGTGGTGCTATCTCTGGGCTGGTGGTCCTGGGGTCTATAAGAAAGCAGGCTAAGGGACTGGAGAAATGGCTCAGAGGTTAAAAGCACTGACTGCTCTTCCAGAGGTCCTGCGTTCAATTCCCAGCCACCATCTGTAATGGGATTCGATGCCTTTTTTCTGGCCTGCAGGTGTACATGTAGATAGAGCACTCATACATTACATAAATAAGAAAGAAGGAAAGAAAGAAAGAAAGAAAGAAAGAAAGAAAGAAAGGAAGGAAGGAAGGAAGGAAGAAAGGAAAGAAGGAAAGGAAAGAGAGAAAGAGAGAGAGAGAAAGGAAAAAGAGAAAGAAAGAAAGAAAGAAAGGAAGGAAGGAAGGAAGGAAGGAAGGAAGGTAGGCTGAGCAAGCCAGTAAGCAGCACCCCTCCATGTACTTTGCATCAGCTTCTGCCTCCAAGATCCTGCCCTGCTTGAGTTCCTGTCCTGGCTTTCTTTGGTAATGAACAACACAGCAATGTGTAAGTGTAAGTTGAATAAACCCTTTTCTTCCCAACTTGCTTTTTGGTCATGGTGTTTCGTCACAGCAATAGAAAACCCCAAGGTCCTGTGCCATCCCACCTTGATAACAGGTACAAGACAGTAAACAGGGCTTCTGAAACAGACACACACAGCACTGGTTTGAAAACATCATTCATTCTGTAGGTTATACAGAGAAGGAAATAAACCCAAAGCACTGAGAAGAAAACCTCCAGGTGGATGTAAGATTGGTTAGCTTGGTGAGAAAACAGCCCCTCATCCAGAGTTTCTCTTTTTGTTGTTTTTGAGACAGAATGTAGACCTGGCTAGCCTTGCACTCACCAAGATCTGCCTGCCTCTGCCTCCCAGTGCTGAGATGAACAGCGTGCACAGTGCACTCTCCCAGCTGAGGAGCCCCTTTCCAGCGCCAGTGCACAGCTACTCTCGACATACGGAACATGAGCTTGGAATAAGAGCAGAGCTGATTTGTGCATGCTGCAATTCCAGCACTCAACAGGTTGAGGCACAAGGAGTGCTGTGCTTGAGGCCAGCCTGGGCTACAGAGTGAGTTTTAGGTCAGCCTTGGCTAGACCCTAATTCAAATCAAACTAAGCAAAGCAAAGCCAAATCATGAAAAAAAAAAATTTTTTCTTAGCAGAATTTCTGAAGGTTTTGCTTCCGTTTCTGCTGCTCTCTAACGGACTGGGAATCTGTCTTTAAAGGCACGTGAAAACCACTACCATCATTTTGATGAGACCTGGCTCTGAGTTTATTCATATTTAGAGCTCACATCTGAGCTTGTGATAGCTAACAGAAAAGCCATCACACTCCTGGGGTGGCTGCAGCACCATGTTCTATAAACGAACATTTCTAATCTAGCCTACAGACAAAAGGAACTAACATCATCACTGTAATTTTACCTATGGGATCAGTTACTGAGCATGTCACACTGATGTCTAAGCATCTTTTAATAAATTTCCCTTGTTCATTAGATATAATGTAAATGATTTAATATAGCAGTCATGGTATATAATATACTGGCCATGATGTATGAGCATTTAAAAAGTTACCTATAAAACTATATTAACCAGTTTGTCTAAAAGGAATATTACAGTCTTATAACCACATAATAGAAAATATTACGTGTTTAAGTAGATGTGGGTTGATATAAAGGTCATATAAATATATAAATCATCATTAGGCACTCAACATGCACAAAGCCCACTGTGGGGTTTGTACATTATGGAGTTCTTGGGTGCGCATCTCCAATCGGCTGTGAAGACCCCACCTTAGGTGGCCAGCTCTCCGCTGTAGACACCTAACTGCCTTCTACTCACTGGAGCTCCAGACAGCTGGGTTTCATTTCATCAGTTGTGCTTAACCTTTTGTGTGTCCAGAAAACTGGATTTATAGTAAGCAAATCTGATTTGTATTGATATTAAAAAGACTGTAAATATGAAAAAGTAAATCTTTGCTATGGAATTTAAAAAGGAATGAAGACACAGAATTAGTAAATGACATTTTTTTTTATTCTTTTTCTTTTCTCTGAGACGGGACCTTGCTATGCAGCACAGCACAAACTAGCCTTGACCTTACAATCCTCCTGCCTCAGACTCTAGAGTGTTAGAAGACAGGTATATACCATCATTCCCAACTTAGTATTCACCCCCCCCCCACCTGGCCCCGGCATACATCCGCCATCTCTTTTATGATGGAGGTCTTACTATGTAGCTCTGGCTAGCCTAGAAATTTCTATTTAGAGGAGGGTGACTTCAAAGTCACAGAGACTCACCTGCTTCTACCTACTGAGTGCTGGGATCAAGAGCATGTGCCACCATACCCAGTGGTAATATTTTTCTTAACTTCATAGCACCAGTTTTTGTTTTTTTTTTTTTGTTTTTTTTTTTTTTTTTTTTTTTTTTTGCTGTTTTATTACATTTCTTTAAGTTGAATGCCTCAGTCTTGGGAGTGCTGGGATTAAGGTGTGTGTGTGTGTGTGTGTGTGTGTGTGTGTGTGTGTGTGTCTGTGTCTGTGTGTGATATCTCATGTATAGATCATTATGCCTAACCTTGTACCCTCTTTTCTCTGAGACAGGATCTCACTACTGAGCCGAAGCTGGCCTTCACTTTGTGCATGTGCTGAGCTTACAAACAGGTGCCACCACACCCAGCTTTATATCATTTCTCTCAGTAACTACACAGCAACACCTTTGTATGGATGGTATGTGTATGTTTGTGTTGCTGTGTG